ACACACAGACACACACACACAATGGCTGAAGTGTTTCCATATGTTTGCCTGTGGAAGTATGTCATGAGGTAGTTTTATCTAGACATTGATCTGCCCTCATTTTCTCCTTCAGGCTACAGACACAGTCTCAGTGTGGGACAGTGATGGGAGAAGTACTCAGAACCTTTATTAAGTACCAATACAACAATGTAAAAATACTCCATTGCAAGTCAAAGTTCTCCATTCAAAATCCAATTTAATTAAAAGCACAGAGGTGTTATCAGCAATGTAATTAAAAGTATCAAAACTAGAAGTGCTTGTTCAGCAGAAAAATGCCCCAAAAATCCAAAATATTGGCCTCAAGGATTTAAAACCATTTGAGAAGTTTAGTGGGGAAATCACTCTTTAGTGGAACAGCTAACAGTACTTGAGTACTTTTCTCTACTGGTGTAAGAGCAATCTAAGATTATGTAAAAAACAACAATCTACAAATATAATCCAAATCCATGATTATTTAAAATCTTCGCGAGAAGTTAACTGTAAAATGGCCTAATCTGCGCTAATCTCCTGGCGGTAATCTATTTTGGCATAAATACATCACATCACATTATTATTTCTGACTGTGTTTTGGACACTGCTTCATGGTGACTAAGCCTTATGTAACAAAGTCAGTGGACTGCCAGTTGGCAGATATTCTCACTGACAGCAGGTAGCTGCTGCAGAGTTGCAGGTGAATGCAGAAAAGTTGAATAGACTGGAACCAATTCTTTAGTCATTTTCCTCTGCTATGCTGGTTGCAGGTGGTTGATCGTTTGCTCATCATTTGTAGCTCATGTATATGTATCAGTGTATCTGTAGTACATATGTAAACAGTGTTGCGTGTGTCCACATTTCGCGTTCGTCTGATTAAATGGCCTCAAATTATGTCACTTGAGTCGGCCTTATGAGACCTCTGTAGCCAATTCCTCATCTCTGCTTGAGCCCAGCAACCTAGTGGCTACATTAGCAGCAACATGCATAAAACACCCGAATCTCTAACTGAACTGATGGCCGTCTTGTTGTATCGTGGGTAATGTAGGCGCCATGTTTTGACTAGGAAAAAGAATTTGTGAAATAAAAAACAATATTTCTGCTTCTGCTTCAGTGATTTTGATCATTAAAAAAACACCATGAGTCTGCTAAATCAGTAGAGTACTCTTCAAGAAATTTGAGCTTATCATGCCAGTGCATAAGCAAGCACACACAACTTTGGGCAAGTTCTTTGCCCTTGAGTCTTGAGCTTGAAAGGAGAGTCTGGATGTCCTCCAGGAGCAACAAATCGTAACCTATTTAGTGTCTTTTTCCATTCATTTTCATAACAAGCCTTTAAAGACTATCAACTCTGCCTGTCACTGAACTCTGTCTAAAAACCACTTCCAGTCAACCCTGGCTAGTTGTGTGTGAATGAGATTAAGCTACATGGTGACACTTGAAGGAGCCAAGAAATCACTGGCTCAGCTCTGACCACGAACTGGCAGAACAAACATAACTCTAAGACACAGTGCCAGAGAGACAAAGGGATATTTTGTGAACGGGCATTTGCTACTAGGCAGTAAAACATACTACGAACCAGCAAATGTACAAACACTGACCACTGGAGGAACATATTCTCCGATGAAGCCAGCATCAGAAATCAGAAAAGGTCAGCAGCGTGCTTTCTATGAATTCAATGGCAACATCAGCAAATTCTGATGCGGTGGAAACTAACCTCAGTGTGTGGAATCTCTGCGCTCACTTGTCAATCCATAACAGAACATTTGTAGTTCATTTAAGGAAAGGCATGCGCTGGCAGGGAGCAGTTTGAGTACATTACTGGACCGGGAAGAGAAGCCCATTTATCATCGGGCTAACACAGGGCAATGTGTGATTAGAACTTGTTACTATGGTTTAATGTTGTAACACAGATAACAGATAAATTCAGATAAGGAGCCTGTTCACAGGCAGGTTTGATGGCGTGGACTAATTGGCTTTCAAATGTGTGCCGTTCATTAATCAATCCGGGCCCCTCCTTGCTTTTATAGTCCATGCGTGGCTCCTGAACAAAAAGCTCCTCATAAAGTGGCGATAACTTAACCCTGCAACTGTGGCTACATTAGTGATGCAAAAATTATTGACTTTTTCACTCACTCGCCCCTCTTATCCTCCTTTCTCCCTGAACTTCTCACTTCAGGGGTTATTTGAGTGCATTCGCTTTGCAACGCTATCAGTGTCTTTACTAACCACTCCCTCTACCTAACCCACAATGTTTTGAGACTGCTGTTGCCAGGGGTTTTTGCCGTAGCTTGCTGCTTGTCAGACTGGCACAAGACTGGAACCAGATGTAGCTGAGATACATCGTGTTGCCTTCACGTGCTTTGTAAAAGAACGCGTGAGGGGAGTTTCAAGCATAAAGAGAGAAAAAAGGAGAAGGAGAATATGTATTAGGGTTTGTCCTCTTGTGGTTTCCTGGTGAAGCTTTTACAGTAGGCTTCAAAGCGGTATGTAAATAAATAACATATGTTTTGTATGTCAGACATGTTTTCTATGTTTTTAGATCTAAGAATGCACTAACAGACCGAACATGGACCGGACCATATCGATGTGTTTCTCTAAAGACGCAGTGAAAGTGGATGTGATAGGCTGGGCTGTTGGGGTCTCCCCCTCTGCGTTACAGTCTGTCATAAAGCCCCCAGCGGGGAGCTGAATTGATGGACTAACTGACATTTTTGCTGACTTAAGGCACTCCCCTGCT